CTAAACATACAAATTCTAGTTGGACAAGCACAGCCATAGAAACTTATAATAAAGAAGAAACAACATTTTGAAGCAAATCAGAATCTGGCGTCACTTTTGTCTTATAAAATCACAACTGAGCATCTCTGCAGGCTAGTATTTCATTGTCGTCTATGGGTACTGTCACACATTTGTGTCTGACCCGCACAACTGAAAACAGCTGGTGGCTTTCTCACTAAGAGCTGTGTATGTGTGCACCACTGGGAGACTCGGTTCAATATTGATCTCTGTGAGTAACTACTACCAAATGTTGCCCAAAAACAACAGTGTTGTGTATAACTAATGCTAGTACAGAGTATCTCGCCTCGACTTTGATCACATCGAAGCTAATGAATCTCATACGGTTTGTGTTCTGGAAGAGGAATCTATGGTGCAACATAATGTGACACTGACCTAAGGTACATACAGAATCTAGACTTCATAATCAGTTCAAAGCAAGAGAGCGGAAAAGTAAGAGACAATACATATACATGCATGCACTTTTTCTACATGTTACTGTCATTTAAAGGTTTTTTCCCTTATAACTACAATAGTGAAGTTAAAAAAAGGTACATCAACACAACAATGGTAATTTACTGCGAGGAAGAAAGCAAATTAGACAGAAATAACAATAACAGGTAAAGAAAAGAAGCAGGATCGACTAAAGACATCCTTCAACCATCCTCTTCCTCTTACCATGCCACTGCCGCAAGTTGCGAACAACATGATGAAGAGGGTTTGAGACTTGCTCAAGTGGTACAGGATGATAAAACACTACAATCTGTGATGACTTTCAAGCCCTGCAGTATACTATGAGGCCCCTGTAGGCATGGGTTCAAGAGCTGATACAGCCTCTGGTTTGGGCTCAAGACAATAGTTCATTCATTATCGCAGCAATACTATCGCAGCAATTAAAACCACATCAATCCTGTAAGTAGGGAAGTTACCATTGGTACATATATTTCACGAAGTTTACAAGCAATCAGCCTACCTAAGGGCTGTACAGGCAGGGTGGCTAAGAGTTGTGGAATTCTAAATCATAGCCTGTAAGAATCATAACATTGACATTTCTCCAGGACCATATTACAAAAGTCAAATGTCAGAAGCAACTGAAGCAGCAGAAAACATCAGAGAGCCCACCAATCACCTAGAATAACTGGCAACATGTTTGTGAATCTTACTTTCCAGTGATGAGCTACAAGCATCCCCCCCCACACACCTCCCACAGGATTTTATGCATAATACAGACAGGTGGCAGGGCAGAACTATTGCACAAGAGGAAAACGGGAATACACGGCAAAATGTACGATAATTTGTTAGTTAGAATCAGAGATAGCAAGCTTTGTCCTGTTCGAAGAGATCAACTTTCAAACACTCAACTGCCCGTTTGGCAATTTTGGCCTCTGATTGGAGGGAAAAAGATACAACATCAACACAAATTCAATATCTTTACTTATGAAACACATAATATACAATTTTTGCTGGTCACCACAGGAGAACCAACTTACAGCCTTTGTAGGTCATCATATCATACAATGGTTTACAATTATCTTAATTAAAGACACGTGAAATTTTTGTCGAGCCCCGATTGTTTATAGATTTAGTTAACAATCTTACTTAGAGCTCAGCAAAAGATTTTGCGGTATTGCAGTACTTCATATTCTTTCCCCTTCAAGACTTCTGTTTTTCACAAAATATTGTAATACTGTCTATTATTATCATAGAAACACATAAAATCTTCTAAAATACTGTTAGTTAACAGTTAAAACAGAGCTGTAATTTGAGCACTGTCATATAAAAATAATGAAACACATTCAATCTTCCAAACAGTACATAAAAATTCTGCTGTTTGGAAAATATAACGTCTTAAATAGCCAGAGACTATGAATTTGCAAGTTTTCAAATAATACCTGCTCATAATATTGGTCCAGTAATAATAAAAATATGTTGCTGTGCGACAGTTCCTTTCCTTCCTTTTATATTCCACATTAATATTACGGTAAGCATCCTCTCTTAAAATTCTGTGGGTAAACATTAGGATTCTATTCTAAAAATTTCAACACTTTTCTGTCATGGTAATCTACACACTCCTGTATCATAACAACAAACTACACTCTTCGATACTCATCTAATTTAAGGTATTATTCACATGTCAGTACTTCCTAGTATAGGCCATCCATTTGAAAAATAAAACAACTTTTTGAAAATAACTTTTGTTAGCATACACACTTGTATTCCCTATCTTGTCCCTGAAATGCTTTGTGTTTATAGCACAGGAAAATGGTTCACATCCAGCTTCGAATAAGCAACATTCGCTTTGTCTTTGCTGCTGATTAATGAATATTAAATTCTAGCTGATTTACAGCATTAATGCTCCCACGTGGGCAGTGAATCAAATTAGAAATAAAGAGGTATGTGAAATAAAACCATTATTTATCTTTAAAAATCTCCTTTTGCTTAAGTTTGCCTCAGATATGGGTCGGACCACGAAAGACACTGCCATGTGTACTCTACTAATTTAATTTAGAAGTGTTAGAAAGAAGGGACTGTGCTGCATGTGAGCTAATTTTTTATAGCAGAAAGAAACGCAAAAATGGGCACTTTGTCCCAAGGAGAAGTTCCCAAGGATAGGATGCCGCAACTTCAAGAAAGAAGAATTACCTGGAAAAAGATATGAAGATAATTGTTGTTTTATAATCTCATAGTCTAATTTGCTAGAGGGAACCAAAAGTTCTTCCTAAAATATCGTTTTGCTATCTAAATGGACAGCCTGTACATTGTGTTTTCTGGAAAAAGAAGTGAAAACATAATAAATAAACCAATATTATGTTATTTGTCAGCCTTCAAAACTCATGATTTTGTATAGTTGCTTTACTGTTCCTCATTTCTCTTATATATCTTAAGGTTGACCCTTTACATTTTATTTCCTCAGAATAGGAACCCTGAATATATCTATGTATATACTATATATAAACATTCCTGCAACTGAGTATACATGATGTAACTGTTAAAACAATTATGAAGGAATGAGATAGTTGCATAGGTCCTCAGTAAAAAAAACCTTAAAAACTAACATGAATATACTTAAAACAAGTATGTAAAAAGTGGAACTTTTAGGCATGTGAACATCAGTGTGCGGTAAGAAAAAAATCACCCTGAATTCAACAATAGGAATATCATACTGTCTGTAGGTCTTCCACGTGATGTGATACTAGGATACTGAAAAGACACAGGCAATATTGTGCTGCACAATGATATATATTAATGATTAATCCTTACACTTTTCTGTACAGTAACAATCTCATTTTGAAGAAGGCATAGTATACATAGATTTTGTAACATTCAGTATGTTACCCTACTTTCAGATTCAAACACCTTACAAGAAAGTCCACATTTTAACACGAACACTTACAATCTAACCGGGGCTACATCCGGAATTACGTACAATGTAAGCCTACATCTATTTACTAAGAATGCTGCAACACCAATCACAAGGAGGAATAAATACTGTGATCTGATATGTACACTGTTTTCATGAAGGAATCTCCTTCCAAGAACATATAAATGTTTGGCATAGTGGTTGCAAGCGCTCGTCAAAATAATGAAATCTAAGAAATCATCATTTTTCTCCTGGTCGAAAGCAAGACAAGAGAACAAGCTTTAAGATGATACCAATATCTCACATGCCAAAAAAATTGAAGAGCACCTGATCCCACCGCATCGGTACACAAGTTTGCGAGAGGAAGGTAAAGGTGTAGAGAGGACAACGAACAAGCACAACTCCAGAAACGAAAAGAGAAAGTGGGCCAAGTTCTGGATAAACAGCCACGATTGGAGACATCTGTTACAGTCCTTGAGAAAGGCTGAACATTTCTGTTCTTATTTACAAGCTCAAAGGGGGATGGTCATACAATATAGGGACTGCACAAACGTCAACTACTAATGAGCAGCCGATAAGTTTTATCAATGAACTCCAAAAAAAATTTCTGCATGAGCAGTCAAAAATGCATGCTTAGATTTTGACAGTCATAACTATCCCAAAGTATACCCGAGTCGAAAAAGGACAGTTTTAATAATGATGTGCAAAACTAACTGAACAAGATTTCAATATACAGAGTCATGACTGAGAGCTCTCCTTGAGTTGCCCTTGCAACAAATATGTTCAGCTTTTATGGAAATGTTCAAATATCAAGGAACCTCTTGTCAGGAAATTCCCAGAGTTCCAAGAACCTTCAAATGTTGTAGACTTCGTCTTTATTGTGTGAGGGTTAATGCCCCTCCCACTTCAAATTAGAGGCGATATCAATGAGATTGGGACTCTTTCCAAGACAGTAGACATGCCAAAATCGGTACCATTCTCTAAACTTTTCAGGGTACGAAAAAGAAGAAGAATCACCAAAATCCCACCTCAACTACAATTCCATTTGTAATACAGTTAGACGTATTGAGTAGAGCCTACTTGAGAGGGGGAGGGCATAGTAATATCATCCCCTCAAATGTCTTTCTGAACCTCAAAACAGAATGTTTTCAGATTGTAAGATACGACATTCTTCTTCCCTCCTCAAACCTCTCTCTACTGTTGCCTTCAGTATCCTAGAGCCCCCACACTCTCAAGTCGGGGTAGAAAACATCCTCACATCTCCTATATCACTCGCTTACCACCCCATCCACATTATCGTACTGACTGATCCCATCTGCATTTTCATCATCATCGACTTCATCATCTCCCAGCTCACTGTCCCCGGCAAACTGAGCCAAACTGTTGTTGCTGTCGCCCGGGTAACCCGAGTCAGCCTGACTGCCTGAGTGTGTGCTGTAGCGATTATCGTTACCATTGTTGTTGTTGTTGTTGTTGATGGTGTTGTCGGAGCAAGAGGAGCCATTGCTGCTATTGGACTGAGAGGAAAAGCGAAACGACTGATCGGGTAACTCAGCATGAACAAGTTTCTCCAACACAGACCACCATCTGCAGATACAAGGAGGGATAAGTCTTAGCTCACACACAGCATAGGTGCATCAGCAAAATCTCATATCTAACAAAGAAGGGAATGATTCACTGAATATTTGTAAAAAATATATTTTTATTATTATAGCTTGTCCGTCAATTCTGACGATGACCAATACATCCGCAGAGGAGAATACTTGTCCAGCGAAATAGAAGAGTTAGAAGAAGTAAAGGTAAAATGACTTGTGATTTCTGCTGTGCCGATGAGACCAATTCTGGCAGATAAAAAGTTTGCTATATTTGGAACATTTAAAAGCTCCACTTCCACTTGTGGATGTGCACAGCTTGCCGGCTTTCCTCTTGGTTTCAGCATTTCTTATCTGTGAAGCATATCTCTACTACTATTTGATAACTTTCTTGGATGAGAGAAGTTTATCTTTAATATTTTCGTATAGCTGAGAGAGTAAGTGAAGTTTATCTTTAATATTTTCGTATAGCTGAGAGAGTAAGTGAAGTTTATCTTTAATATTTTCGTATAGCTGAGAGAGTAAGTGAAGTTTATCTTTAATATTTTCGTATAGCTGAGAGAGTAAGTGAAGTTTATCTTTAATATTTTCGTATAGCTGAGAGAGTAAGTCTCGAGAGGGACAAAAGAGGTGCATAGAACAGGAGCATGACAGCCACAAGTTGAAAGAGAATGAGAGCAAGAGACATACCGGACAGTCTAACTGAAAAGAAAGACAGAGAATGTGAGATATAACTCCCGTTTCACACTAGTACAGATATATGCAGTGCAACATGGTCTAATAACATAACAAAATTCTTTGCTCCTAATCTAACTCCAGGCCTTTCTGTGTGAATGTTACAAAACTATCAACTTATTTCATTAATTTTTCTGTAAAATACATTCTATTTAAGTTCCATCAGAAAATCCTTCTCAACCCGCCCCCCAACCATCTCCTAACAAAAGTGTCCATAAAGTATTCTTTCCCTGTCCTGTCTCTCACCTTTTGAATTTCTTCTCATTGTCATGCTGATACACACAAATTTTCTTGTTCTTGTGCATAAGACAAAACAAGTGCTGTCGTCCCTCCAAGTCTGGAATTCGCTTCAACGTGTAGCCAGGCAGGGGGAGGGAACTGATGGCACTAATGTCCTGAAAAAAAACCAGGAGTGGAAACATTTCAATTCAGTATCAGTTTTTTTTTCAATTTGGGCTACTATTGGCCCAATATACTCCATAACCATACAAAACCATGGCAAACATACCTTTTTTGAATCCTGTGCTTTGAATCAGAAATATCAATTTAAAGTGCTTTTTTTAATGTTTGTATCTTTATACACCATTCCTCTCTATTTCACGTGGCCACCTTTTCAAAGTTCTGTCTCTTTCCCTTCTGTCAACACAAGTTTACTTACTCACCCTCCTTTTCCCAAATTTCTCAGTCTTCCCCATCTATCTCTCTTACTCACTTTCTAAACAATCCCTCTCTCCTCCTCTCATTTCCCACTATGATACCTATCTGTATCATCCTTCAACCTCACCCACCTCTGCTCTTCAGTACATTGGAGACCAGTGGACAGCATACCCTTGACTATCACTTTTGATCCCTTGAGTTTCCCATATATATCCAGTAAAATGTGTGTTCACCAGAAGAAACACTCCATAACTAGATCCAAGACATTTTGATTTCCAGCTTGGGGCTGAGAAGACCAAAAATGTAATTTTAGGTCACAAATGTAGTTCATAAATAGAAGCCCAGTTTAACTTATTTCGGAAGCAAATACTCAAAACGTTTTGATTTGGAACTTACTTCATGAGCACGGAAGGTATATAGAGCAAAATCTTTGTGTGCCAAGAGCCACAACTTTTGCCAGTTGCGACCTCCGTCCTCACTACACTGGACGTAGCCGGAGATCAGACCTGGCTCACTGGCCTTCACCTGTGGAGTTGAAGACAAAAGGCAGACCTATAATTAGCACCTTCCGTAATTTCGTGCCAATGTGCTAAATGAAATCATACGTTAACTTATCACCAATGAACTGCATTCTGTAAATACATATGTCAACCTATGCGTGGGAACAAACTTTTTTCGGCATCATTCCATTCAGCCATCTCGTTTTTCTCACTGATGATAAACAACAGAAACAAATTGCACCTCCCTCCCTCATAGACTATAACAAGGATAAAGTAAAGTAAGCAATTACAGATACCCATTTCTACTGGGTGCCATTTTCCTACCTGTGCAAGAGGAAGGATAAATTAAATAAAGTAAGCAATTTCAAACACCCATTTCTACAGGGTACCATTTTCCTACCTGTAACACGCCTTTCTTCTTGGGGCTCAAGTCCCCACCCGTGGAATCTGTGGAGTCGGACATTCCCCTTTTGTTGACGATGATGTCGTAGCACGTGAGACAGACCCGCTCAATCTTCCCCTGCCGGTACTCCAAAGGGGCTTTCTTACAACAAGATTTGCAGATCAGCTGGAGAAGAGGAAAGTATATAAATGATTTGTTTAATTCCTTAAAATTAAATTCTGCTACACTGCACAAAACAATAGACTTTGAAGTAAAAGCTGTCAGTGCTTCAACTTCAAATCCCAAGTAACAATCTATTCTAGATGGGCAGTTTATTTATTCATTTGTTTAAGTAGATATACAAAGTCCATTATGCCTCAGAGTTTTTAGAAGAATTGTTTACTTCCTTAAAATTAGTTTCTTACTAGTGGTCTTATGGGGTTTAAATACAGAAAAGCACATCTGTCGACCCAATAATCATCATTACTAGGTGTACATGGGAGGGGATATTTTCTTCCCAAGCTACCCCACACATCTAATTGCCTCTACTCCTCAAGACAACAATAAGAACAGACATGCAGCTATTACCGAATGGCATCATGCAGAAGAGTTAACGCTCAGATGCTACTGGATCGCTAACAACAACAACAGGTGTACATGGGAAAAGCAAAATCAACAGACAGACACAACAGAGAGTTTGAAAAGAAGTAGGACCTACCAGTGTCTATTATTGTGTTCTTTATTTTATTCTTTATTATTATTGTAAAGCACATTGAGCACTTTCTTAGTGGAACTGCATTACAGAAGTGAAATTTATTAATTTATTATTATTATTATAATTACGGTCTAAAACTCTCTCCAGTGCACATTAGCTCATTGATGTTGCTGAGTGGGAATTTACTGAAGTAAAGTCCAAGAGGAGTCGCCATTATTTTGCATCTTGTTTGGAACTATCTCCATTCATCATGAGTCTCAGATGATACAGTCCAGTACTTTTCCTTTGAAATGAATTAAATTGGGTCCAGTAGGGCTTTGAACTTCAACCGCATCAAGATCACAGTCTCAACCAAACCAGTCTACACTCAAAAGCTAACAAGATACACACCTTGCCACATGAACGACAATGATGTCGTCGTCGCACCATGTTAAACGAAAGTTCACACAACATGCACATTGTGGCCGCGTCGTCGGGGATCCACACAGGGGCCGTTTTGCCCAGGCAGCTCTCGGGCACCTGGAGGAACACACACACACACAAGGTCAATAAGAAACATACAGTTGCAAAAGGCATGATCAAGGCCATATTTTGATGACAACAGATCAGAACAAATCCAGATATATATTAAGGGTACGAGGAAAAAATAAGAGATGTCAGTTTTGGAATAATTTGTGACATGACAAAGGATTGAAAGTGTTTATTCATCATTTCTGGGCATTCTAATTTGATTCTGAGAGTCCAGGGCTAAAACTTTATGAGTTGCCCAATACAAGGCTTGGAAAAAAAGCTATGCTATGGAAAAAGGTGGGCTGTCAAGCATTTCATTTTTGTTTGTCTCAAAATGCCAAAAAGGTGATATCCCTTGTTTTTTCCTCGTTCCCTTCATATTAATGCTGAAAAATAAGGAACAGGCTACGCAAGTGCACCTACCAACTGATTATAACATTTAAAATACTTTGTCAAAGTTCTATTCTATTAACAAGGCAGTAGGTACTACAACTTACTATCAGCACAACAACCCTCTCTTGAACTCTGCAACACTGCACGCACAGAACACTGGACTTGGAAGCTAAAACTGACAAGCCTTTCAACTTCAAACCCAAAGTAACAATCTATTCTAAGGCAGCAGTTTATCTATTTATTTGCTTTTGTAGGCAAGAAAGTGCATTATGGCTGAGTTTTTAGAAGTTACTGAGTTTCCTGCCCTTTCATTATCTATAGAATTACATATAAGCTTATCTTAGAGAAAGGTGCTATATTATAACAAGATGCATCCAACGCTGATAAGATTAAAAACCCTTAAGAATTCTCCATGAAACCTAGATTAATAAAAAAAAAAAATTTTTTAAGAAATATAAAATTCATACACTAGTCCACTTTCTGACACTTTGAGCCACCCACAGTCAAACCTGCTCTTACAATCATTTGTCCAAGACAATCACCACGAACGACAATTTCCCACTTTTGTTCGTTTTTGTAAGTGTTTTACGGCGCTCGCAACTGCATAAGGTCATATGAGCGCGCAGGACACACCTAATATTTTCAGTTGGTAGGAAATTTTTAATTTTGCCCGGGTGGCGGCCGAAGCCTACTCTTATCGATTTTAGACCACCAAGGGATCTTTAACGTGCACAACTTGCACACGGGCCCTCCGAGATTTTTCGCCTTTGTCCGAGAAGGCTAGGTGTAGATCTTTCCTACCAGAAGATCAGGGGTGTGGCTGAAAGACAGCAGTTAAAAGAAGCGAAGCAGTAGCCGTAGAAAGGCTGCAGAAAGAATCAGGAGCCCACAGGAAGGGGCAAAGGAGGTGAGGGGGTGGGAACAGAAAGAGGAGGCGAAAGTAGACGACAGAACATTGCTAGAGAGCAGGAAATGGGGTGAAAGGAGACAAATTTAGAGAAGAAAATTTTTCTGTCGCTACCCGGATTCGAACCCGGGACCTTTTGAATGAGAGGCCTACACCTTAACCTCTAGGCCACGAGAGCCCCCCATTTCCCATTTTACTGTCCCCTAACACTTTAAAAAATTTTTTTTTTTTAATTTAATATTATAAACACCCTGTCCAAGAGGATCCCCTGTGTAAAATGAGCACTTTTTTCCTTGACAATGGATGGTCATACTGGACAGGATCAGCAGTACAAGTCCTTCCTTCACACTACACTCACTGAGGTTAAGTCACACACACAAAAAGAAAAAAGAAATAATAATCCCAAAGTTATTCTTATAACTTGAAACATTTTACAAAGAGGCGTTGTTCGGAATATTCAGAGAGTTAACTAAGAAAAGTAATTGTATTAATATGGTAATAATAAACATTATGTAGCGTCAAACTTACTAGAGACATACAAAGACAGGCTATGACTTACACTTGTCTCATGAGCGGGGTATTCACCGAGCTTTGTGTCATCTATCTTGATGGAACGCTTTCGCTTTCTGTGACTAGCAATCACATCACCAATTTTCTGGAACGTAAAAAGCAAAGGAAAATGTATTAAAGGAAAAGTCGCATTTTCAAATGTCTCCATAATTTGATTTTGGTCTGAGAGGCCATAGGTCCCTATAGGGAAACTAAGATCTCATGCCCAAGAAGCAGATTGATTTAGATCCATGGAAATAATTTTAAAAAGTGGGAAAACTGCCTCCAATTTAATATATCTTCTACATATTGGTTATATCCTTTAAAAAAAAAATTTAATTAGTTGTTACATAGAGATCTAATTTTTTAAAGTACACCCACAGATCTTACTGTATTGATGAGTTGAAGCTTATTCAGTTATCAGTATCACATCTGTTATGGACTGGAATGAGCTTGTTTTTAAGTGGTATTCAAACTTTGAACAACTCTAAAATGGTTAAACACTTAGCTTGAATCTATATAAAGCGCCTCTGTTCAAAGAAATCATTGAATCAAACTTTCAGAACTGAAAAACGTGCTCCAAAGGGGGATGAGCTAAGAAATGAAATCTCTCAGGTAGACAGTAGGCCTACATAGATACAAGAGACAGAAGACATTGACTCGCAATACAACACTCACTTTTTCCCAGCCAATTTTCTCTCCATTCGGATTCCTGAAAAGCACCGGATGTAGAGAAAAACATTAAAAAATTGAGTCTACTCACCTATTTTGGCTATATGAAAATATTGCTATACACTGACAGCCTTTAAATTCCCTCTGAGCTGGTGATAAAACCTATTTTCCGACTGGATTGGAGACAATGCAATAATGATTTGCACTGTGATTGGCCAAAAAGTACTTTTTTCCAACAAGAATTCAAACTCTGCATGGAAATCAAGCCATTTACACACTAGCAAAGAGTAAATACTTATCAAGACAGAAATAGTTCAAACATTTTACTATTTCCCCCTTACTTAGACAGGGTCAAAGATGTTAAATTCATTAAATATTAAAAACAGAAAAAGTCAATCATTTTGACATCCACTGAAAAAAAACCCCAATAAAGAAGAGGTTGGGCCTATTAAAACCATTCCTCAATCCTACATCAACAACAACAACAACAACTACAATGATGACAAAACCACTCACTCATCTAGCAGCTCGACAGCCTTCTGAGTACTGTGGACCAAGAATGTGTTTTGAATGTGCATGCTGGGGCCCGGACGGAGCTGTGGAACAAGCAGACACATTTGTAAGCAACCAAATATAAATTGGGTCTTCCCGAAGTCCAAAGCTAAAAGTTTATAATAATAATAGATAGCATTTGTATAGCGCAAACCCCCGCTCCACAGAGGGCTCTTTGTGCTTCACAACCTGTACTATTACCCCAGCAGACCTGAGAGCATTCTGAAACAACCTCAAGTTCCTGGGAAGCATACAGTGCAAGCGGCCATTTATAGGCGCTTAAACACAAACATAATGACAAGATCTTTCACTGTCTATGGCTGGGTACCCATTCCCACCTGGGTGAAGTGGGGAAAATTTGTGTTGAGTACCTTATACAAAACTGTAACCAAAAGATCTGAAAAAAGTAAAGAAATAATACGTAATATTCTGAATAATTAAGAGAAGTTTGGAACATACACAAGCGATGTGTGGAGCGGAAACGTAATTCTCCTGAACCATGCTATTCGTACCTCAAATACACAAAAACAAAAGGTACCGTACCTTTCAGGGCTAGAAACTGTAATAAGCAACAGCATCTATAGAATTCTTTCATACTCATCCCTCTTCTTGCCCAAAGTTCAACTACAGTGTTCAGTACCCCAATCCCCACCCCTCCTTCTCCCAACTTCTACTCGACAGCATCAAACATACAGCCTATATATACAATATCTCATCTTCACATACTGCCCAGTCATACACACACAAGGTCCTTTCTCCTCTCCCCCCCCCCCCCCCCACACCCACCCATAACGCCCTTCCCTCCTCCTATCCATCCACTCAGCCCCACCCCCCCCAAAAAAAATCCCCATTAATTGCTACTCCGATCCATCCAACCTCTGCCACTCCCAACTTCCATCAATCCCTCCTTGTGGTTGGCTGGCGGGTGCTCTGGTGTGGTTTGCTCTTTCTTTCCTATCAAACATCTATCATCCTGATCTCTCCTCCTTCTTTTTTGTGTCTGTTGCCCTCTTGTAACACCCTCTAATCTTCGGCACTTATATGACCTTATTGCAATGCAAGTGCCATAAAACTCTTACTAAAACTAAAACAATCCCCCATCCATCCACTCCCCCCTCCATCCACTCCCTGGAGTGTGTTCTATCTCACCTCCATACAGTCCACCTCCAGCTGGGACTTGACACCGTAGGTGCCCCCAAAGTACTGGTTGCACACCAACAGAAGGTCGTTGAACTGTGGAGATACAACGTAGGTCACTATGACACACGACCGACATGACAACACTCTCAATGGGGGCTCTTGTGGCCTAGAGGTTAAGGCGTTGGCCTCTCATTCAAAAGGTCTCGGGTTCGAATCCGGGTAGCGACCGAAAAATTTTCTTCTCTAAATTTTCTCCTTTCACCTCATTTCCTGCTCTCTAGCAATATTCTGTCGTCTGTTTTCATCTCCTCTTTCTGCCCCACCCCTCACCTCCTTTGCCCCTTCCTCTGGGCTCCTGATTCTTTCTGCCGCCTTTCTACTGCTACTCCTTCGCTTCTTATTGCTGTCTTTCAGCCACACCCCTGATCTTCTGGTAGGAAAGATCTACACCTAGCCTTCTCGGACAAGGGCGAAAAGTCTCGGAGGGCTCATGTGCAGGTCGTGCACGTTAAAGATCCCTTGGTGGTCTAAATTCGATAAGAGTAGGCTTCGGCCGCCACCCCGGCAAAATTAAAAATTTCCTACCAACTAAAAATATTAGGTGTGTCCCGCGCGCTCATATGACCTTATGCAGTTGCCAGCGCCGTAAAACACTTTACAAAAACAAACAAACTCTCAATGATTAAAGGTGGTCCATCTATCTCTTGTAAGACATTTAGAACACAAAGGATTCAAGAGAAATATGGAGAGTTTATTAAGAAAAATATAAAAACTTTTTACTGGAAATAAAAAGTTTGAGTCTATACTAATTATGTGTTTTCCAAGAACAGTGGCATCCCCATTATTGTAAATTAAAAATCTATATAATAAATTATATTTATATAAATCTTCACTCCTGCAAGAGAAAAGCTGAACTTTGAACTAGCTTTACAAGGTGAGCAAAACAAATTGAAGTTAGGTCTATTAACTCTCTCTCTCTCTCTCTCTCTCTCTCTCTCTCTGTCACTCTCTCTGTCGCTCTCTCTCTCCCTCTCTCCCTCTCTCTCTCTCTCTCTCTCTCTCTCTCTCTCTCTCTCTCTCTCTCTCTCACACACACATACACACAAACACACACACATACACACACACACGCATGCACACACACGACGCGCAAATACACATGTAAAATATCTACATTCACATCATTCATTTCAAACTGTAACATTACTCTCCGCCCCAAACTGACCAGGAAAATATGTCGTGGCTGTCGCTCCCCGCCCCGGGCGGAGATTTTGATGACGGGACCTTGACACACAAACTCTCTCGTCGGGGAGATGAAATCCACAGCCACACCACGCAGGCTTTGGTAGATATCCAGCAGTTTACGGAATGTTTCCTGGTAGGGGGCGAGGGGGGGGGGGGAGGAGAAACATAAGAATCAACCTTTCAAGCCCTTGCCATCGGTACACCAGTGGTGCTTTAAAGTGCCCATGTGCCCTGCCACCAGTACAGCGGTGAGCAAGACCCTATCTCCAAACCGGCTAACCCAGTACAAAACGTGCAGGGGAAACCGTGATTACTCCACCAGACATTACTGATTATTTTGAAGATCTTTCCGAATTAGATGCTAGTAATGGCTTTTACCGACTACCATGAGTGGGATATGGAATGTGATTCTGACGATCATATTATGAAAGTTAGTAATATAGGCTCAAAGGGTTAAAGATAATGTCATGAAGAAACTGCCCATGTTGCATTCATGGAAGCTGGATCATGTTTCTTTACGAACATCTCTTTTATACAGAGAGAATTGAAAACGGCAAAAATATGAAGAAAAGCTTATTGAGTTGAGATGAAAATCCATTTGTATTTAGAGGGCAGAAGTAAACAATACTTGGAAGGTCATTCTCAAACATAAGTAGGTGTAACAATCTTTCTTTGGAAATTTCCGCTTATTATAGAAAAAAAAGCACACCCTGTGTTATTTCTCTGACTCCAAAAACATTGCCTTGCTTTCCTATTTTTTAAACACACTCTTAAAAGTGATAGGAACAAATAAAAATAAAAATTATGAAATATAACACTGCTGCTTTTTTTTTCTACTCTTACATAATAATAGCAACAGAGAGCATTTTTAAAGCACTCTATCCTATTCTAAAACAAGCTCTAGCTAAGCAGAATAACTATGGCATGCTTAATCTAAACAAAACTCACGATTTTCTTCATGGCTTCGTTGGAGTGGCAGGCAGCCTTGGTCACCAGGTCTAAGGCATCTGTGAATGCAAATAGACGACCAATTGTGAGGTGTGCTGACAAAACGACTCACATCTCGCAATCCACGAATGGAGACGTCGGCAGAAAATAAGACAAATCAAATTTATAGAATTTCACCTGATCCGATTTTCTTCAAGTTAAATAATGTTTTTGTATTATTTCATAAACTGAGCAAACCAAACCAAAAAATGTGGCGTTTCTATCTGTTTCCATGGTACTTAAATCCAAGAATTCACTCATTTTGTCAGAAGGCCTCAGAGTTGGAGATTGAGACAGAATTTTATACTCCATTTAAGACAAAAATGACCATTTCAGTCGATCAACCTGTTACTTCAGTCAAACTTAAATTTCAAATCTACAAGAACAGTATCGGAAACCTCAAGTGTCTAGAACCACCAGATAGTGGGCGCTTTAGAAATGATCTTTATTATTCATAGACACAAAAACTCCCTTCAAAACAAAATACAAGTTTACAACACGTAAAATACACTTTTTCAATGACAAAGGAAATGACAAGCTAACTACAGATAAAGTGTTGAGTGTACGACTCTGCCATACTGAAAAGTGACAAAGTCTTACACTGAGCAGTCCATATATGCGAAAAACAGTTCTTTACACGAACCTGCGGCATCTTTCATATCTGGAGAGTCTTCTGGTAAATGTTTTACATAGTCTGAAAAACAAAAGTAAATGGTTAAGTGGAGCTCTTGAGACTTGTATATATGTAACACAAAAAGTATTAATGTGCCCTGAGGGAACAAATATTTTCTGAGACCAAAAAAAACTTTCTTTCAAATGATACTACTGGGTAATAATTGTTGTACTTACTATGTATAATTGTATATCTTTAAAGGCTGACAATAAAATATAACCACAATTACAGAATAAATTACTCACAATATGACCTCTCTCTCTCTCTCTCTCTCTCTCTCTCTCTCTCTCTCTCTCTCTCTCTCTCTCTCTCTCTCTCTCTCTTTCTCTCTCTCTCTTTCTCTCTCTGTGTCTCTCTCTTTCTCTCTCTGTGTTTCTCTCTCTCCCTCCCTCTCTCTCTGTCTTTCTCTCTCTCTCTCTCTCTCTCTCTCTCACACACACACACACACACACACACACACACACACACACACACACACACACACACACACACACACACACACACATACATAAACACAATGGCACCACATACACTATTGCATACATACATATCCATGAACTCAAACATTTTTATAAGTGGCAAAATATGCCAGGTCAAGTGTATATAAAATGTTCCCCAAAAGACAAGGAAGATACAAATCAGATGCAGGATGTACGATTTACATCCTAGTTCACTGTTGCCAGATAGATAATCCTCAAAATATTATTTTAATCAAGATTCAGAAACAAAATAATGTTCTTTTCTTCATAACTGTGAACACTGTATGAGATATGAATAAGTTTTGACCCAAAAAAATTCTTCATTTTTTGTTGTATCGTTCAGCAAAAGTAAAAGTGTCAAAACATTGAGAGACTGACTAGACATTTCATACCCAAATGCTACACTTAAACTTAAATATGGTTACTCATAAGACCATTTAAAAAACAAATACCAGTTACTTAACCCTATCCATACGTTGTGTTTTACTATCGTATCCATACGACATGGGGAACTATGTGGTGTGCCCCCACTTTCCAAAGAGGAAATTTACTCGTTAATCCTATCCGTGCGCTTAACAAAGCGGTCTGTCAAAATGATTTTTTGGAGAAATACTGAAAGTCTCAAAGAGATCTTTGCACTGGAAGTATTCTAAAATGTGAAGAGTACAACCCCTGGGGTACAAAATGACCCAAGGCGTACGAATAGGGTTAAATGTCTAACTAGGAAAGAAAAACCTTCAAACTTTGTAAAAATACATAATCATCATATGGGGAACACTAATGGTATTTTAACCCATGACCTCCAGATTATAAATTAAATATGGGGTGCCCACTATGGCTGGATCGGGCCGATCGCCTGACTTGATCGCCTGAAACTGAAAACAAACACGTTTGTTTTTGAGGCGATCGGGTCGGGCGATCGGCCAAATCGGCCGATCCCATCCGTAGTGGGCACCCCTTATAAGAGGGGAATGAAATAACCAGCCAACCTGCTGTCACTCAAACATTTTAATAAAGAATTAATAATAAACAGTTACCTTTGAGCAGTAGTTCATAACGAGGAATACGTTGTATGGGGTCTAACATGTGGTCCAGCAGGGAAAGACCGCGGCACTCTGGTTCTTTCTGGAAAACAAGTCAAAGAGCACATCATGGCAACATGGAATGCTATAAGCAACAGCAAAGCAGTAACATATTGTCATTGAAGTTCGCTGTCCTCGTATGAAACGAAATTTGAAAACTCTGGTCTTAAGGCATTTGACCTAAGCACAATCTAAAAAATCAGCTCTCACATTTTAATTTGCATCAATAATTTATGACAACTTCAATATAAATTGTAAAAATTAAGAGTCTAAAACGCGTAGTAGACTAATAAAAAAAAACATTTTCACGTTTTCTCGAAAGTTTCTGGATGCTCCATACGCAGATAGCGAAATGCACTGTTGATATGATAAAGGAGTGGAGTCTCGGTTTTCATTTTTGTTCTCAATTCTCATTATATCTAATAATCTAGAAATATTAGCATCTGTAGTGTAGTGTTGATGGGGAGGCATACAACTTCTAAAATGACAAATTTAAATTACAGACTTGTATCTGTGGTCTTGCCTTTTACTATTACCAGTGATTCACTTCACAACGTTTACTTGCAAATCATTCCCAGCTTAATGAAAAAGAGAGAAGAGAAGAGAACAGAAGGACAGAAGCACGTGTATGACCACACAACTCTGACTCTCTCTCTCTCTCTCACTCTCTCTCTCTCTTACTCTCTCTCTCTGGCTGTCTCTCTGTCTATCCGTCTCTCTCTCTCTCTCTCTCTCTTTCTTTCTCTCTCTTTCTCTCTCATTTAAACACACAACAGGGGCTAAAGTGAGCAAACACACAACAGCACTCCCAAACACACAAACCCAGTACGCACACACACACACACACACACACACAGACACACACAAACACACACACAGAGAGACACACACAAACACACACACACACACACACACACACACACACACACATACACACCTGTATTTCATGAATGATGGCAGCAAAACGTGTGGACTTCTCCATCCACTGGTTGATGAGGTTCATGGCATTGTTGTAGTTACGGATATACTCTGTGTACATCTTCAGGAAGGGGGCATTCTTCTTCATCAAGTCACCAATCCGAGGATCTTCCTCCCTGCACAAAAGATGTGCTCAGTTTAAATATAGGCTCGATGTAAGTATATTAATTGTAAAAACAGAAAATCCAAGAATTTAATCATCCAAATACATTCAATTGATCAAATACACTCAATTGAAATGCATTACATCTAAAAATCAATCATCTTATTTATGTATATAGTATATAGCAGAGAGAGAAAGAGAGAGAGAGAGAGAGAGAGAGAGAGAGAGAGAGAGAGAGAGAGAGAGAGAGAGAGAGACTATAACTATAATAGAAAAAAATCTATTCAATTACACAAAATCAGAACACACTCAAAACGCATTGCCTTCAATCTATAATATGCTCAAATTGAGCACAAAACACAGTCAGCCGAAACACTCATTCCAGTCACAATCAGTCCAATAAACATAATCTAACCACAATCAATCCAAATTTTATATACTAAATTTACAACATACATTCAGTCCATATACTCAATAAAAAATATACTCTATTGAAATACACTTAACCGAGGTATATTAAATAGAAATAAACTCAATGTAAAGAGCTTACAAGATAATAAATAGCATTTGTATAGCCCATACCCCAGCCCGACTGCTAGCTCTATGCGCTTCACCATGTATTATTACCCTAGCAGACTCTAGAACACTCAGAAACATTCTTAGCTTCCCAGGAAGCATACAGTGCAAGCAGCTTATCAGGCACTCAAACACTAACAAACTGACAAGATCTTTTGCTGGTATCTAAAGTCGGGTACCCATTTTCACCTGGGTGAAGTGAGGAAACATCGCGTAAAGATTCTTTCATAAGGACGCAATGTCCAGCTCATGACTATATTTGAACCCACAACCTTACAGTCCTGAGTTCGACACCCTAGCCACTAGGCCACAGGCACTAACCAGTTGTTGATTTTAGCTTCATAAACTCAATGTGTGAAGAGTTCACAAGCTTTTGACACTATGACGTCATGACGTACTCACCAGCTGTTCATTTGGGCTTCAAAATCTCACTGCGAAGAGGTCACAAGCTTGTGACACTCTGACATCATAAACATACTCACCAGTTGTTCATTTGAGCTTCATAAACTCAATGTGAAGAGTTCAGAAGCTTGTGACACTATGACATCATCATGACGTACTCACCAGTTTTTCATTCGGGCCTCCAGCTGGGGCAGCAGGAAGTCGTGATGGAAGAGGAAGATGCTCTTGGTGTTGGAGAACATGTGGTTGAGTGTGTCCGGGGGGAGCAGGGACTGTTGGCGGTTCTCCTTGTCCAGACGGAAGTAGAATACCTGTTTGTGATAAAAATGTATGTTTTTATAGTCTTAAAATAAGAGTTTTACAGATGGACAGACAGGGTCACCAACGAAGCAGTGTTAAGGAAAATAAGACAGGGCTCAGACAGAGATGAGGTGGGAAAAAGGAGAAGGCGGTGGCATCAGATTGGACATACTCTCAGGAAGTCAGGGTGAGAAAGGCAATATTGATGAAAAGTTTTACAGGACTTGCAACATAGTTAGGTTATAAAGTGCCAAAGATTAAAGGTGCTTCAAGAGAGTAACAGACACAAAAACGAATTAAGGAGGAGAGATAAGGATGACAGATATTTGATAGGAAAGAAAGAGCAAACCACATCAGAGCATCAGCCAACCACACACGTTCTAAAAATGTGCTCATTAGAAACTATTTCCCAACTGACACTTTAGAAGGTGGGCAAATTCAACTCTGCCAGCGAGGGACAACCAAGGCATGCTTGCCTAAGGTCGACTGAATGCCTCAATACTTTTCTTCTTCTTCTTCTTCTTCTTCTTCTTCTTCTTCTTCTTCTTCTTCTTCTTCTTCTTCTTCTTCTTCTTCTTCTTCTTCTTCTTTTTCTTCGCTATAATACCGCATGTTTCTTGCTCCAATTCCTCCTCCTATCCCCCCCTTCACATCTTCTTCTCTCCTCTTCCAGGATCAAACTCCTGCATACATAAGTTTTTCTCCTATTCCTCCTCCCCCTGCTTCTCCTCTACCTCTTCACTGCCTGTCGGTGTGGCGCAGTTGGTTATAAATCTGGCCTGCACATTACACTTTGCAGCTCGGGTTCCTCCACTTCCTAAAAGCCACTCCTGCTCCAGTTAATTACTTCTGGGTGACGACCCACGCTCCAAAACTCTATTAGCATCCCATCCCCCAACCACAAGGAAGGGGGGAAAAAACCTCATCTCACCTGGTGCAGTAGATGCAGCTTGTCCACATAGCCCCGCTCGGTGCGCAGAAGTTCGTCCGCTATCTTGTAACGTTTGTCTGCTGCCTTCACGTTAGGTTGCTCACAAGTAGTCTAAAGCAGGCATATGAAAAAATAAGACCGTGTGGGTTTTTTGTTTGTTCAGTTGTTTGTTTAGTTGTTTGTTTTGTGTTTTTTGTGTTTGTTGTATAGTTGTTTTTTTCTTCTTGTCATGCGTTTGTTTATTTGTTTCTGTGTGTTGTTTGAAGAACGGATTTTGTTTGAGCAAAAAGAATCACATCGGAACAGTAACTGCCATTTAGTGCTCGAGAACAAAGAAAAACACACAGAAGAGAGATAATAAAGAAACAGGAATTAGCAGTGGCACCTCATCAAACAGTTCGCTTGTGTGTGAAAGAAGAGACGTTTGGATTGTGTGAAAGAAGAGACGTTTGGATTGTGTGAAAGAAGAGACGTTTGGATTGTGTGAAAGAAGAGACGTTTG